CCACTGAGCTACATCCCTGGCCCTATCTCTTTTATTTTAAAAGAGCTGTGGTTGATTCACTTCAAATCCTGGATAACAGATTAGCAGGAAAGGCCTCTCTCATCCTCCAGGTCTGCAGTGTGCAAAGTGTGGCAGGTCTGGTAGGAGGGCCACCACAGGGGCTCTGCCTGAGAGAGGCAGGGGAATGAGTGCCAGGCTGCATGGGGCAGGGATGGCCACGTGTCCACATAGGTGAGGCTGTAAAGGGGCCCAGGAGGCTGACCCCATGTGCAAGGGGCTGAGCTGTGTGGGACCGGCTGCCTTGAACTTCAAAGTTGGAAGTATGTGATGTGGGCACAGAGAAGCTGTGGATGGCTTTCATCCAAGATGCCAGGGGGAATGTTCCACTGTCTATTGCTGCCTAACAAACCACTTCTGGACAGTACAATCTAAATAGTCATTTTGTCTTCATTGTTACGTCTCAGTTCCGTGGGCCAAGATGTCAGCCAAGGCCCAGCAGGGAGGGCTGTCTCTATTCCCCATGGCCCCATCCTCGCCAGGTAACTGAGGGGGCAGAGGCCAGGCAGCCCAGGGCTGGGCCCGAAGGGGCCTTCCCACTGAACGGCCTCTCCAGGGAGCCGAAGCCTGGCTGTCTGCTGCCTCCTGCAAGTCCCCAAGGTCACCAGCCCAGATCCAGAGGGAGGGGAGGAGCAGCCATCCCTCAGCTACCTGGGTTGTGTATTGTAGCACAAAGGAAACCAGCTGTAAGGGAGGCCTGGAGCTAGGAGGGTGCTGGAGAGAAGAGAGAGACTTCAGGCCAGACGGCAGTGGGCGATCCACCCTGGGCAGAGCAAATCCATGCAAGGAGGGTTGGTAATGCACGTCAGCTGGTGTCCCAGGAGCAGAGGGGTGTCCCGAGGAGGTAGACTTGCCTTTCTCCGGTAGGGCCTGCTCAGGGTGGCCCAGCCTGGTTTGTTTTTTGTTTTTCTTTTCTTTTTTTTTTAGACAGAGTCTCGATATGTAGTCCAGGCTGGACTTGAGCTCACTGTTTAGTCAAGACTGGCCTCAAACTGGAGATGATCCTCTTGCCTCAGCCTCCTAAGTGCAGGGATTGCAGGCATGCGCCACCATGCCCGAGCTGCCCTGGTTTTTAGGTCAGGCTGAAGGAGCATCTGTGGGAGGCGGCTGCTCTCTGGTGGCCAAAAAGGCTAATGACATGCAAGTGGCTTGGACTGGCCAGCAAGGGTCTTGGGGCTGGGGACCAGGGAGTCGAGCAAACGCCCAGGCGGAGGAGGCAAAAGTGTGCCCGGCTCAGCAAAGCCAGAAGCCAGGCTCAGCCACCCCAGCCTCTTTTGGGAAGCTCTCTGGCCTAGCCTTTTTCGAGCCTGTGCTACCCCTCGGCCTCCTCCTCTCTGGGCTCCTCCCACCCCACACCCCTGACTCTGAAGATCACTTCCTTCTCAAGCTCCAGCCACACCTCCTGTGCCAGGTCCTCCCACTTGCTGTCCTGCATGGCTCCTCATCTGCCATCCCGACCTCTTGGGTCCCAAACCTCCCGTGCCCCTCTCTGTGCCCACGGCCTCCTCCCGGTACGCTGCTCTCGGCCATCATCTCCACTCTGTCCTGGTGCTGGGCAGCCAGACAGGTCTTGTCACACTCCTTCCAACCCCACCCGCTGTCCTCCAGTGACACCTGCTTTGTTCTGGTCACCCGTGGTCCCACCTCTGTCTGGGACCACTCACACCACCCCCAGATAGAACCCATGTATCCAAGAGTCAACATTTGTTGTTGCCACCTCCAGGAAGCCTTCCAGGACCCCTAGGCCAAGAAAGAGCCTCCTCTAAGCCCTCTCTATCCGGGACACTTCTGCCTCCCCCCAGTGCAGAGGCAAGAGCACTGTGGGCAGGGACATCAGTCTAGACATGGTGGCCCTCAGCACATGCTGACTGGCCAGGAGTTTACTGCACTGCTTCTGGTGGAGCCTTTTATCAGGAAGCCTTGGGGACCCAGCCTCAGTTTCCCCATCCATACAAGGAGGGCATAAGCATCCTTCTGATCCCTGTAGTTGGTTGTGGCTGTGGATATAGCTGAAAGTCCACTTGGGTGAGGGGCCTCAGGCCCACTGCAGGGCTTCTTATCTCAGGAGAAGGGAGCAGAGCACCACCCTCTTCTGCCTCTGTGACAGCCCTGCCCTTCTTTGTGGAAACTCGGCCTTGCTCTGTAACGTGGGTGCCATCATCTAATCAGCTCTGTGCCCAGTGCCCAGGCCCTTCTAATAATTGTTTTGTTAAGGAACTCAGAGGGCCGCAGGGAAGGGAGTTATGCTGCCGGGTACCCAGGACCAGGGTCCGCCAGCCCTCATGCTCCCCTCCCAACCCCACAGCAACCCCACAGGCATGGCCTTTCCACCCCTCAAATGAGGACACAGAGGCTCAGGGAACAGCTGCTCCCCTCCCAAGCCAAAGAGGTGTTGCTGTGGCCAAGGTCACCAGTGCTTGGTGACAACGGGGTAGCTTTGGGCCCCCAGCATGTCTCACCTGGGGAGGTTCAGGATTGAGGTCCTGGCGGTGGCAGTGTCAGTGGGTGACGGTGGGCACTCAGGGTCAGGTAGAGTGGCACTGCAGTCGGTGCCCATGGCAGATGTGCCAGCCTCAAGAGAAGGGCACAGGTTTGGGGGGCAGGACCACAGGGAGAATCTGGGGCACAGTGTCCACATGCTCTCAAGGCTGTGACGCACAGTGTGGCCCTGAGAGAGCCCAGCCCCAGCTGTGGGGAGAGGTCAGGGCTGCTGTCTGCAGACTGTGGCCTCCCAAGGTTCCTGCTCCACCAGGCAGGTGGGGCCAACTGAGGAGGAAGGACAGACCCCAGGTTCCCAGGGACATGTGTGCTAGTGACAGAACACAACCCCAGAGCTGAGGAGGTGGAGGATGCTGGGGGTTTGGGAACAGCAGGAGTCAGAGCCCCTGAATGAATCAGACCTATGGGATGAGCTGGGCAACTGGCAGCCCCTTCTTGGGACCCCTGGGGATATGCACATCCACACCAGTTATGGACTGATCCTCTCCCTCTCTCTGCACGCTCTTCATTTCACAATAGAGTGTGGCTGTCCCTGTGACCTGACACTTAATTCCAGGTCACTCTTTGTGACTGTTGAGCAGACATCAAGCGTTCCCTGGCATAAGACTATGAGCTGCGCTGCAGTAAGCAACCTTGAACATGATTTCTTGGCCGTGCATGTGTGTGGGTGTGTGTGTGTGCGCACGTGTGCCTGTGCACACGCGCACAAGTATAAGAAAGTAAGCCTAGAAGCCAAGAAAGTCTACTGGCTGCTGTTGTCATTGTCCAAAGCAGACACCATAAGAGGCTGAACTAGGCTGGAAAGGAAAGAAGGGGCAAATTTCCTTTGCCACAGTATCATGGGCTTTCTCCAGCGAGCCTGCTGGGCCTTCAAACCCCATAAATCAAGACCCAGAGCACAGCAGAGCAGGAAGCAAGGAGCTCAGGGTGGGATGGGATGAGAATAGTGCCTCTGAATTAGCTCTGCCCAGGCAGGGGCTTCACCTGCTGCTTCTGAGCCTTGCAGCAACCCCAGGAGTCCCCACTATGAGGACTCTGAGGCTCCCCAAGTCTGGACCCCACACAGCCTCTCTCGACCACACAGTCTTTTGTTAGGTCCTTGAGCTGAGTGTCCTAGCCAATATGCTCTCTGAGGATGCCAGATGGAAAGATTGGGCAAAGCCAAGACCTGGACCTTGGCCGGGGCAGGTGCTGGTAAGATAGACCCAACATTGCCACCACCAGTTAGACGGAGTCCAGCCTGAGGGGTAGACAGTGACAGATGACAAGTGGTGGCTGCTGGGCCCCTGCTGTCTCAGGCTCCTCCCCTAGAAGCCAGTGGCCTGCCATGCAGCAGGTGGGAGGCAGTGGCTGGGTATCCAGGCCACCTCCCCAGGCAGCATGAGGCCCAGGTGGGGGTTGGGGACAGATCCCTGCTCCCTGGGGCTTGGGAGTCCCCACCCCAGTTTGTCAGCCTCAGGAAGTCCGTAGGCCACCAAGCTCCCAGAGCAAGCACGTGTCCCTGATCGCCAGACCCCACCCAGCCTAGCTCTGCCTCCTCTACCCGAACATTCTGGCTTTTTGTTGCCTGCTTTGATCATGTCTAGGCATATTGCGAGGTCTCTGGGGGTGGGGACATCAGGGCAGGACGGCACAGCAGGTAAGAACACTCAAGCACCAATGGGCCTGGGTTTCAGGCCCCAGCTCTGCTACCCACTGGTTTTGTCACTGAGCAAATTACTTGCCTCTCTGACCCTTGATTTCCTCATCTGTAAAGATGAGGTGATTGGAGCACCTACTCTCATGGGCTCATTGTGAGGACTGAATGAGGGGAGGTACATAAAACAGTCAGAAGGAGCCCTGGATCATAGTAAATGCTTAAGGAACACCAGTATTACTGTTCCTAACCTGATGCCTGACTCTGATTCCTGCTCCCTGGCCCCCACCCTGCAACCCACATCTGACCTTGACCCTGAGACTCCTCGCCTCCTCTGTGTCCCTTCCTGACTTCTGGGCTGGTGCCAGGGTCTGCTCCTAAGTGCCAATGAGTGGGATTTCTAAGAGCTTGTTCTCTGGGGTCAGCCACTCTGGAAGAAGGGGGATTGGAAGAGGGGAAAGGAAGAGGGAAACGGCAGAGAATGGCTATGACTTAGCAAGATTTGGTGGCCCTGATCCTTTCAGCTCACTTACCTTTTCCCCTGGGGTCTGCGCCCTCGGTTCCCACCAAATCACCATCACCAGAATCCTTGTGGCCCCTGGGAGAGCACATCTATGCAGCTGCCCTAATGCATCCGGGAGGGTGAGGACCAAGTCACCCCTCCAGGGAATTGCTGGGACATGGGGACACCCCTTGGGGCTTATGCTGCTCCTTAGCCTGGAGAGTCCCAAGCATGGGTGCAGATGTAGGACAGGGGCTCCTGGGGGGCAGAGGGCTCAGCTCTGGCTCTGGGACCCACAGGAAATGAATAACTACCAGCGGGCCATGCAGAGGATGGCAGAGGATATCCTGTCACTGCGGAAACAGGCCAGCCTCTTGCAGGGGGAGAACCAGGTGCTAAGAAGCCGCCTGGTCCAGCAGGAGGTGGAAGAGAACAAGGCTGTTGAGACCCAGGACCTGGGTGAGAATGCACAGGCCACCACATGCATCCAGACACCTCCCTGGGCCCCAGGTCTGGGTTGGAGACAGGGTGGTAGATGGGGAGCTTCCCCCAGATGTGCATGCAGCTGGATTCAGGCTAGCAGGAGTCCCAAACACCCCACCACCCACCCATAGACCCTCACACGGTCCCTACCCAGTGATGTCCTCTCAGATGGGAAAAGGAGTGTCTAGCCCTGTCTCCAGCCCAGGCCTAGGGGCGCCTGCTCCCCCTTCCCCTGCTGAGGGAAAATGGAGACCCCTCCCATGAGCTGACTCCCCACCCACCCCAGCAACATCCATGAGTCAGCAGCTGCTGCTAAGTGAGCTGGATGTGAAGAAACTGAGGGACAAGGTGCAGCACCTGCAGAATGAGCTGATTCGGGTGAGTGGGGGCTGAGAGGAAGGGGTGGGCAGTGTAGGGGGCAGCAGGGGATCCCAGGGGACCTGGGTGGCTGGTGCCCAGGGTTTCCCCCAGGCACCCATTCTTCCCACCCACCGCTCCTCTCTGTGCAGAAGAATGACCAAGAAAAGGAGCTGCTGGTACAGTATCAGGCACAGCAGCCTAAGGCCACCCTGCTGAGGCGGTACCAGGACAAGCTGCAGAAAATGAAGGCGCTGGAGGACACCGTGCGACAGCAGGAGAAGGCAGGTGCCTGGCTCGCCCATGGTGGGAGGCTGCACACGGGAAGGTGTGGCGTCTCCCAGCCCAGCCCCCCTCGTGCTCCGCCCCACAGGTGATAGAGAGGATGGAGCAGGTGCTGGGGGGGCGGCTGCTGCTGCGGGAGAGGAAGGAGCCCATGCTGCCCAGCAAGCCACTGGGGAAGCCGCAGTCAGGTGGGTCCCCCATGCCCCACTCTGATCAGGAGGGGATCCACTCCCCAGTTCTTGCACAGCTCTCTCTCGAGGCCCAGTCCTCTGGCACCCCCAGCTGCAGGAGAACCTACTCGGTCACATCTGTGGGTTGGGACACCCAGGACAGTGCTGCCCCCCACCCCAGGGCCCTGAGCTCCCTCCAGCCAGGATGCCTCTAGGGAGACACTGGTATAAGCCAGGCTGGAAAGAGGCCAACCCTCCAGGGAGAGGCCTGCAGACTGGGACACGGCAGGGACACAGGGGCCAGCAGAGAGGGGCTTGCCCAACAGAGAGCCACCCTGGGTAGCAGTCCTGACTCCGTAACCCAAATCCTTTGAATTATTTCATATCTTCAAAGATTCTCTTTGCAAAGCAAACCAGCTAATGAATGAACACTGTGCAGAAACCCTTTCAGGTTAACCACAGCCACCTAGAACTGCCAGCCAGAGGCTGTTTGGATAGGCAGGGAAGAGTGAGAAAGAAACCAAAGCAAGGGACACCTTCTGCGAGCCTGGCTCTGTGCTCAGCCCCCTTGGCTGGGGGCCCTGGGGGTCTGAAAGGCATTAGAAAATAATGAAAGCCTGGCCTGCCTTTCAGGGACCCTTAGGTCCCTGGGAACCTGGGTGAGAGCATCTAGGGAAGGCCGCAACCAGGCAAAGGGCCAGGGAGGAAGAATGCCGGGAGCAGAGAAGGAAGGCAAGAGAGAGGACAGCCTGAAATATCCAGAGGCCAAATAGTTGGACAGAGGGGAGGGTAAAATGTTGCAGTCCGATTCTAAACAGCCTAGAAGGACAGCCTGAGATGTGTGGGCCTGGTTCCACTGGCAGTAGGGAGCCATCAATGGCTTGGGAGCAGAGGAAGAGCATCAAGGAGCAAAATGCTGGGGCTGACCCAGGGCAGGGACATGGAGGCAAGAAGGCCTATCTCACAAACACCTGTGGCGGTGTTCACAGCCTTCCCTGTGCCCTCAGCCTCTGGCCTCCAGCTGGGTTCCGCAGGAGAGACATCTGTTGACCTTTACTCGGCCCTACTGGCAGAAAACTCAAGGCTGCGGGCTGAGCTGGAAAAGAACCGCCACCTATCAGCTCCGATCATCCTGCAGCAGCAGCCCCTTCCGGTAAGAGCCTCCAGCACAGCTTGGCCTGGACCCACCTGCACTGATCACCAGGTGCCCAGTATCACCCACAGCACAATCCAAGTTGAACACCCAGGCCTAGAGCTGGGCTTCCTGGGCTCACCAGTGTGCCTGAGCTCCTGGGAATGCATGCATCTGAGCTTCACCTTGATTCTTGCCTAGCATCCCGGGAAAAAGCAAACCCCTGGCTCCCAGCCACACCCACACAGGCCTCTCCGAGCTTCCAGAGCATTTTCTAGGATTGGTGCAGCCCTGGAGAGCCCTTTTCCCCATCCCAGGTGGACCCCAGGGAGTTGGGAGCAGGTGGAGACTTGGCAGAGAGCATGCGAAAGACAGATGGCCCCGGCCACTCCAAGTGCACTGAGACCCTGCCTGCACAGGTGGGTGTCCCAGGCCCCTCCTCCATGTAGGCTACTCCAGGTGCCTGCCACTGGACACATTCAATGACAAGCTGCTTGGAGTCAGAGCAGGTGGAGTGGGGTGCACAGGACAGGACTTATAGGAGGGGAGCTCCCTTTTGAAGCCTCGGATGGCAGACATCCAGGGAAAACATAGGGATGGGGCCCTGGCTTCACAGATTCTTCACTCTGCACAAAGACTACCTGCCCAACTCCCTCCTGGGCATTACAAGGGAGCTCGATGATGCCTTTTACATTAAAACACTGTGGTGCCCCAAACCTGCAGAGGAAATAGCTGTGAAGGAAACTCAGGCCCAGAACTTCAGAAAGAGGTGCTGCCTCCAGGAGCTGACTGGACTCAGACCTGGCTGGTCTCCCCTTCAGGACCTTGCAGCTTCCCGAGTTCCTGGGGTCGCTGCCCCAGCTGGGACCAAACATGAGCTTCTGCTCTGCCCACAGGATCTCCTTGCCAGTATTACAGACAAGTTTAACCTCATGGCCAAGCTGGAGCAGGCTCAGAGCCGGATCTTGTCCCTGGAAAGCCAGGTTGGTAATGTGCAGGGGTCAGTCAGGCTGGGCCAGGCCCACTGCTCTGTCTGTGGCCAAAGCCAGGGCTCAGAGTATAAGCAGGATCAGGGCTCAGTGCATGACCAATTTAGATTTGGTCTGTGACCAGAGTCCAGAACCATCATGGACTCAGTGTCTGGGCTCAGGATGTTGTCAGGTTGCAGAGAAGGTCCTCCATGTCTGTCTGGCTGTTTGGCTCCCTCTCTGTCACCCTCACCTCGTCACCCACAAGGTCCGTTGCCCAGTAGCTTTGCTCTCTGCCCAGCGAGCAGGCCCAGATCCTGATGGGCCCTGGGACCCATGGATCTTCCCACTACTCCTGTCCATGTCTGCAGTTAGAGGACTCAGCCCGACGCTGGGGCCGAGAGAAGCAGAACTTGGCCACACGGCTGCAGGAGCAAGAACATGGCTTTGCGCGGCCCCCAAACCTCATCACAGACCAGCCTGTGAGTGACCCTGCTGCTGGAATCCAGATGGTAGGCCTGGGACCCTATCTCTAAGTCACTGGGCTTAAGAAGAACTTGGGTGGGGCCAACCCACAGTCTGGGATCAGAAGTACTGAGCTCAGTTCCTGCTCTGCTACCAACTGAAGCTGTCACTTGGTCAATTTCCCCACCCATCTGGGAGAACAGGAACCCCTTCCCCCACAAGTTGTTGTGAAACTCCAGGAAGAGATGACTGGATGAGTGGGGGCCCACACAGGCACTTCTGGACTGTTCTGTCACTGCCTGTATTCGAGGACTGGCTATACTCAGAGTAGCAGGAGCCTCCACTCACCAAGCTCACTGTCCCGAGTCCCCTTACCACCCACCCTTAGGCTCCCACATAGTTGAGGTGGGTGCCATCTTGGCAGCTTCCAAGGCACAAACAGGCCTGTGTATACCACCCCTCACCCCAGCCCTGGGGACCCTGGCCCTTCAAAGCAAAGGCCCTGACTTCTGCTCTTGGCCCTCAGTATTTTGCTCATGGCTAAGGCTCCAAACTCCCAGAAAGGGCCTTACAAGGACACAGAGGCTGACGGGGACATAGAAACCATCTGCAACTCCCTCTAGGCCCATGGACTCGGAGAAATTAGGTGTCATCTGCTGTGGTCGGATCAGTTGAGAAATCTTCCAAAAGTTACGGGTGGTGGATCCCAGTGTTGTGGCTGGCCGGCCAAGATGCCTTGAAGAGGTTACCCCTGGGAATGAGAATACACTCACATGCCCACTTTGCCTCCCACAGAATGCCTCGACCCATGCCAAGGACCTCATGCGGCCCTCAAAGCAGGAAGTTTTGCTGCCCGACTCAGACTCCAAGCCCAGCCGGCCCTCAGACACCCAGGCAGAGACCTTCAGCTCCCAGCACATGTGAGCCCCACGCAGGCCTCCTCCTTCCCTGGGCACTGGGCAGTCTGAGCCTACCCCCTAAAGATGACTTTATTAAATGCTGAAGCTCAACAAGTGTTCTCTTTCTTGGAACAGGGTGGCCTGGGCCCTGCTGCCTCCTCTCAGACCCTACTCTGATCCCCAGTCCTTGGCCTCAGCCCCACAGGCTCCTGCCTGTAACGGACTAGGGGGGTGGTGAGAAGAGGGACAGAGGAGACAAGCCCCTTCCTGCCCTCCAGGGGAAATGAAGCCACCCTGTCAGGAGATGGGAGGGAGCCCAGGACTCCCCACCTGCCCCCAACATCTGTCGTGCCTGAAATCCTTTCTCTCACGTGGTTGGTTCATCTGTCTCCTGGGCAGGGCAAGGCTTGAAGCCTTCCCGGGCATCACCATGTAAAATACCCCATCCACCTGGGCTGTGTCCAAGTGCGGCCAGGGACCAGAAAGCAGCCAGGGCCTCACTGAGAGTCAACAGGTCAGGGTCCTGGCTGCAAGCATCCAGTGTGACCTCGGATAACTCCAAGTCTCTGAACCAGTTTTTTCCTCTATCCCACACAGAGCTGGGTGTCTTTCTCTTTCCAGCTCTGACATTTCTGAGCCAAAGATAACTCAAGCCCAGAGAGCAGAGCAGAAGCAGGAAGGAGAAAAAAGGATAAAAGAGAGGAGGAGTACATGGTGGGGAAAAGCAGAAAGGCTGTGGGAGAGGACCCAGAACTTGCAGGTCCTTGGGAGAAGAGCCCAAGCCAGTCGGACCACTGTCCCAGGCTGGACAAGTCCCCTGTCCACCTGCAGGAAATAGACCTGGGGGACCAAGAGCCCGCAAGAGGCTGGCCCCTGCTCTGGGCCAGAGTTGAGAAACTCAGAGGGATTTAAGGGCCTGGACAGGGACAGTCACACAGTCCCAATAATGCACCAGGACTGCTCTGGTCCCCTGCCTACTGTCCAGGGCTTGGACATGTCTCCCTGGAGCCAGGCAGAAGGCATGGCAAACCCAGAGAGGGGTCAGGAGGTGGAGCAAGCATGCAAGGCCCCTGTCCTGGGCCAGGCACCTCACACCAGCCCCTTCCAACCCCACAAGGAACTCCCACCTGGGATCAGCAAAGCAGTGCACTGTTGGGTGTGCCACCCAAGAGGGCAGGACTGGCCCAAGCCATCTTGTCCTCAAAGGGGACCTCCCCAGCTCCTTTGTAATTATTGCCTGTCCCGCATGGTGGCACTAGCCCTCCCCTCCCAGCCTTGCCCCAACTCCCAGCAGCCTGAGCTGCTGTGGGTAGGTGGTCACATCAGGGTCCCCCCTGCATGCCCCAATCTGCACGAGGGTGACAAGCACCATAAGGTCTGCGGGAAAGAAAAACACTCCCATAGTTCAGCCATTTATTGTCTTCCCATGGTAGGAGAAGGGGAAAAGTGGGCTAGAGGGGAAGGCAGGGGAGGGTTCAATGGAGTTGGGGCAGGTGAACGCTGAGCCAAACCACCGTCCCTGAAGGAGTGGGGACACAGGACTGCAGATGTGAGGCCCAGTGCCCCGCCTCCAGCCATTGCCCACTTGACTGCAGCCTTGTTGGTAGGAGGCAGTGCCACCCTCTGAGATCACACCTGGGCAGTGTCCTCTTTGAAGGGCAGGAAGGTGAAGTAGATGGGCTTCTCTGGAGTGAGGATGAGGTTGAACTTGGTACCCACATCTGTCAACTGCTGCAATTGAATCCTGAAGTTCTCCAGCACCTGAGAAAGGAGGTGGACTTAGGGAGGGGCCAGAGGGCTGTCTCTCCAGGCCAGGCTCATCTACCTGCAAACAGGGCTGTTGAGTGCACCTTGGGGAGCCCAAGGGCTGCAGCCCCAGCTCCTCATTTAAACGCACCATGAGCGTCCTGTTCCCTGGGTTTAGGCCTTGCCCTTAACCAGTCTACAACATCCCTCCCCACCCCTCCCCATTTCACGATGGCCCTGAGGACTTCAGTGAGTGATGCGTGGGTCACCCCAGGAGAGGAAGGAGACAATGTGCTCCAGCCCTGCACCTCCTGGGCTCTGGACAGAGATGGAAGAAGGCGAGGTTGGTGACTTACAAGGACCAGGGAGCCTAGGGTGCCCAGGTGTCCCCAAGACCCACTCACATAGATGAGGAAGATGGTCATTTCCAGCTCTGCGATCCGCCGACCCAGACACTGCCGTACACCCCAGCCGAAGCCCAGATACCGGAAGTGGGTAGTGTTCTTGTCCTTGTCTAGCCACCGGGTTGGGTCAAAAATGACGGGCTTGGAGAAGTAGCTGGGTTCCCGGCCCATGGCATAGTTGGCCACCTGCACCAATGTCTGAGGGAAAGGTGGCCAGAGACCTGAGCAGGCCACCCTGCATCCCCAGGCTCCTGTGCTCCCACCCCCCAAATCCGCTGCCCACATGGCTGCCCAAGTACCCAGGTCAGGACATTGGCATTCTGCTCACTGTGTGACCTTGAACCAGGTCTAGCCCCTCCCTGGACCTCACTCCCAGGAAATGAGGGCTGCTGAAAACCCAAGGCCAGGATAACAATGGGTCCTCCCACTGCTCCTGAGCCTCAGGAGGGTCCGAGGTGAGATCTACTTCCTATCTCTGAGCATCAGCAACTCGGCAGCAGCGTTACCCACCATCCCCCCACCTCTGCTCTTCTTCCTTCAAACTCAGACTGCTGCCACTAAGAGCTACTGCCCCAGGGCCCAGAAGAAAGGTAGGACAGAGTCTATAGCCACCATCTGTCACAACGGCAGCCTTCTTCACCTGCCCCCTGCCTCCTCTGTCTGACTGACAGAACGTGCAGCTCCCGGCTGCTCCTACCTTGGCTGGAATCAAGTAATCACGGAGAACCAAGTCACTCGAAACATATCTCTGCAGGGTCACAGAGATGGGGTGCAGTCTGTGGGAAGAAGGCACTCAGAAACGGATGGCCCCAAGACTGGGACACGTGCCAGGCCCTCCATCCTGTCCCGGCCCCAGCAGCAGCCCCCGGGGGATCTATTTCCTCCTCCCCTTCTCAGCTGTCTTCCGACTCCATGCTGCCTGCATCTGATCCCTGCCAGCCCCTCCTTGGACCCCTCCCTCAGCCCCAGCCAGGGTGGGGAATGGGCAGGGAGGCACAGTGGGATGGGGTGGGGTGGGCTTGCCTCAGTGTCTCCTTGATGCTGGCCTTGAGCAGCGGCACCAGCTGCAGCATCTTGATCATGTCCCCCTGGGCCTGGCGCCGAGCAGCCTGCACCTCCTCCCGCAGCATGGCCTGCACCTTGAGGTTGCAAGCTATCTCGTATAAGTGCCACTGGAGGGTCATGGATGTCTGGCAGGGAGAGAGGGGGGGACACAGAGACCAGCAGGGCCGGTCACTTGGGCACCTTGAGGTCCCTGGCCCATGCTAAATTCTCCTCTCCAAGAACCTCTCCCTTCTCTGCCTTCATCACCATCTCCAAGACATCATGGGCAGAAGCAAAGCAGAATGTGAAAAGCAAACACCCAAGAAGGTGATCTCGGCTGTCCCTGTCCCCAGCCCTCCTGATCTATCTCCAGCTACAGAGCATCAGCACCTGTCAGTGCTTCTTCCAAAGGACTCCCGGTGCCTTCAGAAGCCAACCCTGCCTCTGCATGGGTCATCTCTTATACAACTAACTGCCCCTACTCCTGAACTCTTTCAAACAGCCACCCACTCCTAGCCAGACTCCCCAAACCCCAGTAGAGCTTAGAGCGAGGCACATAGGTCCCAAAGCCAGGTGGAAGATGGGACTTCTGTCTGGATTGAAGGTAACATGCAGGATATACAGAGACAGAGTAGCCAGTGTCAACAGAAGCCAGGGCTTGTGACCGGCAGCCCTCAAACCGCTCGCTCCCAGACTCCTCCTTGGTGACAGAGAGGCCCGCCTGGGGCCCCAGCCAGGAACACCCCCCTCCCTGGGGCTGGGACGCAGATCATCAGCACATTACCTTTCCCAGGAGGCTTGGCTACCTTTCATTTCTCCCAGGAGAGGCAACAATGAAAAAGGGCCACTCAGTCCTTTCCCAGCTCTGAATTCTTGCCTGGCTCCCCAAGGCCTCTAGATGACATACAGAGGCCTGAACCCCACCCCAATACCTGCCTGTGGCTCTAATAGCCCCACCTCCACAGAGCACACATCTGGTCCCTGGTGACACAGGGCTGCACATAACTCCTGAGGCCCAGAAATCTGCCCCACACTAACTCCCCCTCCTGGAATTCCCTCCCCACTCAGGAAGCAAGTGCATACCAACCACATGCGTGCCTTTATCTCAGTACCTCCCAGGCCTGTCCCCAAGTAGGTAGTTGGAAGGGACCTGTTTAATAAGGTAGTTAACTAAGTTAACTGTGACTTTAAGTTAGCTGTGTGACTTTGGCCTAGTTATTTAACCTGTCTGTAGCCCTGTTTCCTCATCTAAAAGAAGAGAGGATGACAGCGACTACTTCACCATATCCTGGGCAAGCAGTAAAGGAGGCAGCACTGTGAAAAGCTTAGGATGCTGCCTGCCAGGTAGCACGTGCTAAATAAATGGCATCTCCTAGTGAGGGCTGCTTGGGTGCAGGGAGCAATTTTTGGAGAGCTCCTCTACTTCATGGCAATGAACTATGCCCCAAATGCACTCAGAGGCTCCAACTGCCTTAAGGACTAAACTCCTCCATCAAAGCATAATACCTTGGAAAGAAAGTATTAACCGCAAAGTGACTTTAAACCTTTAGAAAGGGTGGGGGGGTGTAGCTCAGTGCAAAGGTCCTGAGTTCAATCCCCAGTGCCACACACAGGGAAGCCTCTGGGATACAGTGTAGACAGTGGGAGGGAGGCCTCACAGTGGAAGCCTCTGGACTTCAGGGTACCATGGGGCAGTGAGGTCTAAAGGAGAGGAGAAGAAATGACAAAAGGACCCCAGAAACCAACTCCAATGTTTCTGGTCTCTGTCTGCCTGTCTTCCTAGATCTGAGAAGCCACACCCTTAAAGGCTCCACAGAGCTGGGCATGGCAATGCACCCCTGCAATCCCAGCACTCAGGAGGCTGAGACAGGAGGATCACTGTGAATTCAA